GCCCGACGCGGGGCTCGAACTCATGGACTGCGAGATCATGACCTGAGCTGAAGTCGAACGCTCAACCGACTGAGCCACCCAGGCGCCCCTGTATTTTGACTTTTAAATTTTATTTCATTTTTTTAAGTTTATTTATTTTGAGAGAGAGAGAGAGAGAGCACTGGGAGAGGGGCAGAGGAGGTGGGAAAAGAGAATCCCAAGCAGGCTCTGCACCAATGAGGGGCTTGAACTCACAAACTACAAGATCATGACCTGAGCCAAAATCAAGAGTTGGACGCTTAACCAACTGAGCCACCTGGGCATTCCAACTTTTAAATTTTAATAAATCATTTAAAAATACTTGGATAAATGGCTTACAGGTGTCTTGCCTATATTCTTGCCTTGGAATTCAGGGTGGGCCTGATGTAACAATCTCCCCTCTCCCCCTTAAACTAACTTTCTTAGTCACCTTCTTTAGAGCATTGTCTAACACTGTATTATTTACTACTTAATAACAGTGTATTATTTACACTATTTAATAACAGTGTATTATTTACTTGGATGTTGATTACAAATCCTTTCCATGTTTCAACCAAATGTAGTTATTTCAGCATCAAGATCAAGGTAAGCAACTTGGGACATGAAATGTAATCATACAGCTATGTTTTACACACACTACAAAAATATTTGAAATGTGAAAATAAACCTGAATATGTTAGGTTAAATGCACAAAATAATAACATTCATCCATTTTTACTAATTGGCTCAGAATTACCATAAAAATGTAACCTGGTCCCATATTCTTTATTCTAAAACTTCCGAGAATTATGAAGGATTCCCTATTTTTCTTCTTCTTCCGGGAAAATGCTCAATTCAAGTTAAATGCCCAATTTGATTTAAAATTTCAAGTCTTCACATGTCTGGAAAGAAGGGTTCTTTCACATAGTTAAATCCACCTGGGTTCAAATCCATTTAAGATTGTGATACTCTGTACAAAATTCTTGACTTTCCTGAGACTCAATTTCCATGTCTCTGCAATAGGGATAAAATAATACATGTTTCATAAATGTGTAGCAGACGCAGAGCAGTGGCATAAAAAGAGTTAGCTGTTCTCATTGCCGAGTGGAGAGGAAATTTGCACAGAGCCATGCGTCCAAACTTGAGTTACATGCTTCAACTCTCTGAGCCCCAGTTTGCCCTGTACCATGGTTGTTGGGAGGATCCAGATTTTATGAAGTTCTCTACCAAAAACAGGAGCTCAAGAAATTGTGGTTTGTTATCATCACTATTATAAAATGGGCCAATTACCAGAGAATAAGAAGCTACTTTCTCTTGCAAATTATTCCTTTACCTTAAAAACATTCATTACTTACATTTCTTTTTACCCAGAGAAACAATGTTAATTTCTTGCTTTTTTGACTTTTCATGTAAACATTGCTACCTTTCACAAAAAGCACATTTATTCATCTACTTAATGAAATGCATTCCAGTATGCTGTATAATCTTTTCCCATGTTTAAATGATCCTAGAAAACCGAGTTAGTGGGTGAAATTTTTAGTGAAAATTCATCTTTCAGATATCATGGAGTTTGCCTGGGACCCAAGAGAAGCCAGGAATGAAACAATCTCTTAGTGGGAAACAAGTATTTGTTGTTGTTGTTCTGTGGCTGGTTGTGGACAAGTTTTGGTTTTATGGTTCAATGAACTTGAATTGACCACGGCTTTTTGGGGGCATTGAGCTGAGTTCTACAAAGGTGTAAAGCTTAATGCTGAGGATTAGGCTTATTCTGTCCAGGACTAGTCTAAGGGTGATAGAGAGGAGATTTGCAAGGAGAAAAGGAGTTGAGAGGTGTGGGTTGTGCTTAGGTGAGTTGGATGCTTCCCCCAAATGGTGGAACATACTAGTTGTCACCTTAGGACGCTCAGGGCTGCTCCTTGGGGTCACTGATTAGAGAAAGAACTTGTTTCTAGAGAAAGATTTTGTTTCTACTGTTTGTAAATCTTTCAGAGTGAGCACTGGAACAGATTTTCCTGATTCACCCCTACCAGTCCATTTCCTGGGGATGATCTATATTTCCCACTGCAGACTAAGAAAGGCCACTAATCTTCCTGTAACTGATATGATGTAAAGGTTAGGGCGTCTCTTCACAACAGATATCACAGAAACCCAGCTGGAGACATTTTTTTAATCTAAACTGCAGTCAGGGTTTCATGCAGTAAGATAGCTATAAAATGGGGTTTTCCAATTTGATTCCATTTCATTTCTCTTTTGCTGTAGCACTGGGCAAGTTCAGGGTTTCCAGGGTCATGGCTGATGCCAGCCTGGTCAGTATCTCTTTTCCAGAGTACATACTTCCTGCCTCCCTTATATCTTCTACCTACCATTTATTTACCCAGTGGCAGGATTTGTCTCATCACATTCTTCTCTGGTGTTGGCTTTAAAATGCTCAGGTTGTGGTTAGGGGCACCTGGGTGGCTCAGTCGGTTAAGAATCTGACTCTGGATTTTGGCTCAGGTCATGATCTCACAGTTAGTGAGTTTAAGCCCTGCATCCGACTCCTCACTGACAGTGTGCGGAGCCTGCTTGGGATTCTCTCTCCCTCTCTCTCCCTCTCTCTCTGCCCCTCCCCCAATCACTTTCTCTGTCTCTCAAAATAAATAAACTTAAAAAAATAAATAAAATGCTCAGGTTGTGATTAAAGGTATGTTTGGTGGGAGGGCTTAGTCAAAACACAAATACAAGCCAACTAGTGAGGAAGTGGCAGCAGAAACTGTTCAGGGTTTAGGAATTACCAGAGGGGAAAGCTTGACTTTTCTTTATGCCACTTCCCCCTGTGACTGAGAAATGTGGGATTTTGTCACCCAGTTTTGTGAGGTTCTTTAACACTAAGCACTGCATGTGTGTTGCCTTCCATTTCAGCAAAAAAAAAAAAAAAAAAAAAAAAAAAAAAAAAAAAAAAAAAAAAAAATCTTTAGAGCAGAAACACACGTCTCTGATTCTTCTTCACCCCATCTCAGTGAAGGGTACCACTCTCTTTGACTATGATAATCAGAAATCCAAGATCATCCTTGATTCTTCCTTTTCTCTTACCCCTCTTTATCAATCCAACACCAAATCCTATAGATTTTTACCTTCTAATTTTTAGACTGATCAGTGGTTTTTAACTAGGGGTGATTTTACTCCCCCCCCCCCATAGACATTTGACAATGTCCATAAACATCTTTTTAAGTTTATTTATTTATTTTGAGAGAGAGCGAGCAAGAATGTGCACAAGAGGGGGAGGGGCAGAGAGAGAGAGAGAGAGAGAGAGAGAGAGAGAGAATCCCAAGCAGGCTCCACACTGTCAGCACACAGCCCAGTGTGGGGCCCGAACTCACAAACTGTGAGATCATGACCTGAGTTGAAATCAACAGTCAGATGCTAACCAACTGAGCCACCCAGGTGCCCTTAGACATTTTTGATTGTCCCAACTATGGAGGTGCTACTGGCAGAGGTGCTGCTAAACATCCTGCATGCAACTCCCCACCAACCCTCCAATGCCAATAGTGGTGAGCACGAAAATCCTGTTTTGCATCCCTTGCTGGGACCCTTAGGCTCCTAACATGTCTTCTATTTCTATTTTCCCTATTCTCCTAGTCAAGTGATAATCTTCCTGCAGTCAGAATCTTTTATAAACATAAATCTGATCATGTCATTCTCCTGCTTAAAGTTATTTAATGTGTTTGCATTGGCTTTTAGGAGAAAGAGCAGAATTCTCAACTTGGCTTTTACCTGGCTCTTGGTTCCTTCTCCAGCTTCATCTTCAGTATTTTCTTCTCATCTCCCTCTGCTCCAGGCACATTACTCTTCCCTGTTCATCCAATCTGCTGTCCTGTCCTAACAGTTTACAAAACTCTCCTCTGCCCATCCTACTCCTGCCCCCCAACCTCCACCCCAGCCCCTAGCACCCAGCCCCCAGCAATGGCTCCTCATCCTTCAGCTCGAAGTGAAAATGGCGCACGCGCACTGAAATCGTCTCTGCCCATTCAACTAGGTGAGGACCTCAACACAGGCGATCACAGTATCATGCTCCTTTTCTTCTTAATTCAACCTATAATTCTGTATCTGTGTAATGATGTGGATGCCTATCCTCATCTTCCTGGACTCCACCAATCTCTAAGTTCCAAGAAGGAAGAAATTTTATCTCTTTTGCTCATTTTTTTTTTCAAGTGACTAGCACCATGCACAGGAGATACTCAGTAAATATTTGTGTACGAAATGAAGGCCAGAAGGTGGCAAGACAGGGAAGAAAGAACTAAGGAAGAGAAGGGGAGGCCAGTGAGGAGGAGACGAATAGAAAGGAAGAAAGGGAAAAAGGGTACGAGAGGAAAGGGAAGAAACAAGAACAAGATGTGGCCTTCCAATCAAGTTACTTCCTGGAGATGTCTGCCTCCTTGAGGTAGCGGAGGGTCCGTGTGAGAGTGTAATATAGTAATTAATGGCTAGGCTAGGAACTCTAAATTCCTAGTTTAGCAATAGCTAAACCGATACCTGGTTTTAAGTCCTAGTTTGCAGTCTTAGGCAAGTTCTTTCTCGCATCACTTACACTTTGCTTACTTATAAAATGGGGCTGATGGGCGATTTGAAGAGTAAATGAAATAATGCCTGCATGGCGCTAGGAACGACGTCTGGCGTGGTCAGCACACAATATTAATTCTGCTATTGATATTTATTAATATTGTAATTATTTGCCCCAGGCAAGGGCCACTCAGCACTCACTCTTAAGGGCCAGCCCCACGCTTAGCTCGCCGCTCTCCATATGCTGAGACGCGGCAGCACTTCCACCAATCCGCTAGGTCCGAGAGGGAGCATGCAGACAGGGCATAGCCAATGGGAGCAGGGGTTACAGTCTCTTGGATACGGTGGTAACAGCGGACGCTTTGCAGTCTGCGCAGCAGAGGACCTCAGAGTAACGAACGGCTGCAGACCCGAGTGGGCTCGGGCATTTTCTCCCCGGGGCCGGGCTGAGAGAAACCTGGCCCATGGCTCACGGCCGGGAGCGCGAGGAGAACGCCTACGCCTCCGTCGGCCCTTCCCTGTCCGTGAGGTGCGGCGTCCTCCGCCCAGCGACTGCCGGGTCTCTCGGAAACTTCCTTCTGACCCAGTCCCCTCCCTACCCTCCTCTTTCTCCCATTCTCTGGACCTGCTCTCCTGGAAACTTTGAGCTCTTGTCCTTTACCCTCCAACGCCCTCCTGCAGACTCCCTCTCTGTGTGACTTCTTAGTGACCACATCTCCAGCTGTTTGCACCCCTTCGTTTTTCTGCGACCCTCCCCTTTCTCGCTTACCCACGATTGCTCTCTTCCACTCTTCGTTTCTGCCTCTCCCACTCTTCATTTCTGCCTCCTCTTTCTGGCTCAGTGTTCCGTTTTCTCCTGATTTTTCAAACATACCCACCACCCTACACACACTCCCATCCTTTCCTCGTCATCCTTGGGGATTTACCCTAAATTAGGACCGTCAGTCCCTTCCTTCTATCCACTAACTTTGGAGCTATTTGCATTTTTTAGTGGTCTTTGGAAAGCACAAACAGCTGCACAGATAGAAGGTGGTATTTCTTTTCTTCTACATTCTTGAGTGTTACCTGCACTCTGTTACTGTTTGATTCTGTATCCTGTACTCTCCAGTCATGTTGACTTAATTCCATTTATTTTCTGCATTCTATCCGTTTTTTTCCCATTTAAAATACAGCTATACACATTTCATCTTGGTAAAGAAACAGTTTTCTACTTGACTCACAACCACAATGTAGGCTGCCCTATTCAAAGTTGTTTTTTTTAAAGCTTGTTTAGAGAAAAAAATGTTTCTTATTTTGAGAGAGCGTCTGCGTCTGCGCGAGCGAGCGAGCGCGCGAATGGGGGGAGGCAGAGAGAGGGAGATGGAGGGAAAGAATCCCAAGCAGGCTCCACACTGGTCTCACAGCCAGCATATGTCTTCTTTTATCTTAGAGATTGTTTTGGGCAGAAAGGAGGTAAAAATAGAATAGATGTGTTTCAAATATTTTGATGCCCTTTTGTTTGCTTTGTTTAAAAAAAGTGTTTGAAATGGATTATATTGATGGTGATACATTTTTTTCCCAAAGATGGGTCCAAGGATTCCCTAAGCAGAATGTTCATTTTGTCAACGACAGCACCATTTGCTACCCTTGTGGGAATTTTGTAATATTTATTAATATTGAAACCAAGAAAAAGACTGTACTTCAGTGTATGAATGGAGTTGTGGGTGTTGTGGCAACTAATGTTCCTCATGAAGTTGTGGCTTTTTCCGACCGGAGGTTAAAACCTCTCATCTACATATACAACTTTCCTGGATTGACCAGAAGGACCAAATTAAAAGGTAACCTGCAAGACTCGTAATCTGACATAACTGAAGGATTTCTTTATGTGACCAAACCTAGTGCTTACAAATGAAGGGTGTTTTTGGTTTGTCAGTTTGTTTTTTTGTTTTTTGTTTTCATATCACACATTTTAAAAGTAGGATCGGGCTGATCACAAAGAATTTAATCAGTGTACTGCAGCCTTGCTACTCAAAAGTCTGTGGTCTGTTTATCTTCAACATTGGCATCACCTAGGATACCTGTTATAAATACGGAAACTGCTCCCATCCCAGACTTACTGAATCAGAATCTGCATTTTAGTAAGATTCTCCAGGTGATTGATATGTACATTAAACTTGATAAGCACTGGGCTAGTAGACTATTACAGCACTAAATGCAGTTTGAAACCTTTTTCCAGAATACTTTTTTTTTCTTTTATGACGATTTATTGAAAATCCAGGTAAATTGAGGTCATACAAGTTCTAAAGTCTCTGAGCCTCAATTTCCTTAGGTGTGGGGATAATGGTAGTATCTACTGTTAAGGCTGTAGTGATAATAAATGTAATTATATATATATTATGTATATATCCACATGACATATATGAATATCACACACACACATATATAATCTGTCAGTCACCGTTACCCAACATTTACTATAATTTATTCACAGATACATGTGACCCACAGTGGGCTGCTGCACATTTACTGGAGTTTCCATCTCATGATTCCCTCATTTAACACATCATGGATAGAAAGCCCAGGAGAGCTTGGGACTGGTCTTAGTTCTTTGGACTTATTGGTCAAATAAGTCTTTGGGTTAAGCCAGGGAATTTCACTATAATTGATAGCATTTTATTTGTGGGGAAATTTGTGTTCTCAACAGATTAAAACAACTTATAAAACATCGCTCATTCATACATTGGTAACTGTCTATATGGACTGTAACTACTCTTCATCTTTAAAATTTCCCCAGCTTTGTTATTTTGACTATAGCCCTGTCGAAGCAATTAAAAGTTAATTCAAACCAGCAGCCAACATTTATATTAAAAAATGAAACTCTAAAGGCATTCACAATAAAATTATGACTAAGTCATCAAGGATAGCTGTTGTTACCACAGTTATTTAATATCAGCCTGGAATTTCAAGCCAATGCAACAAAATATGAAACAAAAATTATAGCTATAGAAGAAGAGATTATGGGTAATGCAATGGTCTACTAGGACTAATAAAAGAATGCTCAGTAAGATGCTGGTTTCAAAATATTCACATAGCTAAGGTGATTTAAATACTTAGAACTGATTCAAGAAGAAATGTGAGTGACCTCAATGAAAACTACAAAAATATCATTGATTTAAATTATTTAAGTATATAGAGACATATTCCTGAGTGGAAAGTCTTGTTATTATATAGTTCATAGAAAATAATTCCTAAGTTTATCATGTTTTAGACAGCAAGGAGTACTTAAATGAAATGATTCTGAAGTTCTTCCAGAACAACAAAAAGTAGAGATGGGAATAATTCGAAAGAGAATGATGGCATGATAGAGGGTCCTTTTAACATGATGCTATAGCGATTAAGAGTGTGATATTGGTGTAGGGATCACCACATCAGTGGAAGAGTTGAAGAGAGGGTACAAGCTTAGAATATATAAAAGCTAAGTATATGATGAATGATACTCTGCATTCCTTCCCCCAAAATAGAAATATAGATTGTTCAGCAATGGTGCTAAGAAAACTATTTGAGGGGTACCTGGCTGGCTCAGTCGGTGGAGCATCCGACTCTTAATCTCAGGGTCTTGAGTTCATGCCCCATGTGGCGTGTAGAGATTACTTAAATAAATCAATAAATAAATCTTTAAAATTTTTAAATAGAAAACTATTTGAGCAAACATATCAAGTTTGATACTCATGTTATACTGAACGTCAAAACATACATTAGATAAAAATAAGAGTTCAATATAAACAGCAAACCATTTGAAAAGTAGGAGAAAATATGGTAGAATATTGAAATGATTTGGATGGGGAAGAAATTTTCACACAAAGGAAATAGCTAAAAATAGAAAAATTGACCTATTATTGCATACAAATTTAAAATTTAAGAACATTCAAAACACCATGAAAAATTAAAGGCAAATAATAAACTGAGGAAGATACTTAGAAGTAATATGATCAAGTATTTTTAGAGAGTTTATGAAACAATAAGAAAAAGACCCAAACATCCCATTAGAACAGTGGAAGAAATTGCCCAAACCACAAAACTACAGATGACCAAAATATCAAAAAATATTCCATCCAATATTCATTTTAAAAATTGATATTTGAACTGAGATGAGGTTTTTCTCCTTATCAAGGTCACAATTTTTTTAAGCTGATAACTGCTAGGTGGAGCACAGTGAAATTGGTAACACACTTTCTTGCTGAAGGTGGGAATAAGGTGGGAGTAAGATTGATACAATCTTTCTGGGAAGTAAACATTACCGTATTTGACCCAGTTAAACTCAGTTGAAGAACTAGAATTCAATTTTAAGGAAATCAGAAATAGTCAAAGATGTGTATGCACAGGAGATAAAGGCACTATCATAATAGAAAAAGATTGGAAACCACCTACATCCCCAGTAATAGGAATATGGTTAAATATGTGAAATATCCCATAAAGTGTATTATATAAGCATTAAAAATTGATTTTGAAGAATTATTAATGACAAAATGCTCTATATAATGTAAACAATAGGAGTAACACTGTATTATCCAAGTTTTTAAAATGAATTATTATACATAATATTTAAACCATGATTGTTATAGCTATAAAAAGCAATGTTACGTATTTTTTCAAAGTTATATTTAAGTAAAAAAAAAATGTTTATTGACAAGTAAGCATAGAAGAAAATACCAGAAATTTACCAAATTTGGTAGTGAGATTACAGAGGATATATTTTCTTGTAAAGCTTTTTATTGGGGGGGAGAGGCACCTGGGTGACTCAGTTGTCAGTCTCTTGACTTCAGCTCAGGTCATGATCCCAGGGTTGTGGGATAAAGTACCCCATTGGGCTCCTTGCTGACTGTGGAGCCCGCTTGGGATTCTACCCCTTCCTCTCTCTCTGCCCCTCCCCCAATTGTGCATGTGAACTCTCTCTCTCTTTCAAAACTAAATAAACATTAAAGCTTTTTTTTCATATTCAAACATCATGCATTTTTTAGAAATTTAAAATAAATAAAATATAAAATGAATAATCTTCATTTATGAGAGGAAATGTCTATAGTAAGGATAGAAATTATTCTATTGAGGCCTCTATTCCACAGAAAACCTTTTATTTTTGGTCAGTTAATACAAGTTTTCTTTGTTAATCAAACTGGGCTAAATAAATTCAACAAACAACAAAGTTTAGCGTTATATTCTAGTCAGTTAAAGTGAGAAGGGCAAAAAAAGCAGGAAACAACCACGAAAAGTACAGAGAACTAGCAATAGAGACCTGCATGTGAAAAAGACATGGGAGAAGGCAGAACTTGTACCTATGGAACCACATTGAAAAACAGCAGGTAGAGTGGGGGAAACCGGATCTTTATACACAGGAGGGCAGAAGCAGATACTTCCTTGTCTTAGCGTCCTCATGACACACATTGTAAACACATTGTTACTAAGGTTTTTAGAGTCATGTTTCATGTCTTCAACTACAAGGATGGATGAGATAGAACTTTTTTTTTTTTTTAATTTTTTTTTTCAACGTTTATTTATTTTTGGGACAGAGAGAGAGCATGAACGGGGGAGGAGCAGAGAGAGAGGGAGACACAGAATCGGAAACAGGCTCCAGGCTCTGAGCCATCAGCCCAGAGCCTGACGCCGGGGCTCGAACTCCCGGACCGCGAGATCGTGACCTGGCTGAAGTCGGACGCTTAACCGACTGCGCCACCCAGGCGCCCCAGAGATAGAACTTTTTTATAATTGTTCCTAGAACCAGAAGATATTAAGCAAAGGGCCTGGTGTGGCCCAAGACATAGAGACATGGAAGTAAGCTGGAATGATTACAACTCCCCAAAGTATTTAATGTTGTTTGAATAACTTTTCTAATTACAGTGTTTCATATATTTATGGAGCATGTTCTAGTTCTTGGGTCATTTCAAATTATACTTATGACATCCATGGTTCAATACACTCAGTTCTGATTGAAGTCTAGGGACAGTGACCTAATGGTCTTAATTTACTCTCATATCTTTAATTTTTTATTTTTAAAAAAATTTTTAATGTTTATTTTTGAAAAAGAGACAGAGCATGAGCAGGGGAGGGGCAGAGAGAGAGGG